AAATCTTCACTGATGTGCATTTTGGTTACATTGTAATTGTTTGAAATAGACATATGATACTTACCTACAAAAACAAATTGGTGGCAAAACAAAATAATATATAATTCGTTTATGAAATATACAATATAGTAAAAAGTGAAGAAACTAAAAACAACCTTCTTCCTTGACCTTGGCGTACTAGAGTACGACAACAATGGGAAATGAAGAATCCTTGTGATGTTGGTAGTAATTAATGAATTGTAAGGCGTATGCCTCCCAAAGGGTACAATTGATGATGTTGTTGTTACAAAAGGGAAATCAATGTAAAAAACATAGTCAAGTAAGTTGATGTAAGATAATAGTGACAACAACGAGTAGTGGTTACATAAAATACTCAAAATATTTTAATACCAAGTTGACCTGCTATTTTTTACTACCATTTTGCATATGTGTGTAGCCTATTTTCAACCATCCCAATGATGTCTGAAAAAGTACGGGTGATAATGAGTTAATGTAGATAACAAAGAGCAATAGTAGCTGGATGTATGCATGTATATATATGTATACATATTATCAAACTATTCTTCCATCTACCAGAAATGATATCTCCAACAGGTGTGAACTTGAGAGTTTTATCAAGTATCTGATGTTTGTGGTCAAAAGCTTTGAAGAGCAGTTCATTCAGTTGCACTTGAAAGTTTGCTATTGTTTAAGTGTTGTTAATCGTTAAAACCGAGTCGAATGCTTGTTTAAAGGTTGTCGGAACAACGACGTGTATGTCAGTTGCCTGTAAAATGTTTTTTACCAAACAAAAACAACATAAATCACAAAAATTCATAATAAATGTCAATGTAGTTGTAAAACCACATTTGAATACAAACAACACCAAGAACATTGAAAACGTACACATGAAAAGATTGAGAAACCCCAATAAGTAGTTTAAAGCAAATAACATTCAATGTGCAACAGAAAACTAAAATATGAACACTAAACAGAAAACAAACTCTCATCTTTGTCAACTACAATCATCTCGAAATGGTCCTTTGTGTTGGAGAAAACCTTTAATTTGTGATGGACTTTAAACACGATCTTCCATTCACCATCTTAAAGGTATGTCCTGTTAAATTGTAATTCATAGTGTCGAAAATATTAGATTTGTTTAGATTTAAATAGATTTGATTTAAATCTAGAATAGATTAGATTTGATTTAGTAACAAAATAGATATTTTGGGCTTTGGGCTTAAGGTGTAAGCTCAGTTATAAATAGAGGGAGTAACCCCTATTTTTTGTATGCAAGTCAAGCAAGTCATTCACAATATTTTGTAGTTGCAAAGTGAATAATAAAGTTTTTCACAGTTTGTGAGCAGAGAGAAACTCTACAGAAATTATTTGTCTTGTCTTCATTTCTTTGTTTGTCCTCATAATTAAATTATCATTATGGTAGAAATTCATCATTGACTTTGGTGAGTTTCTCAACATCTGGTATCAAGAGCTTTTGTTTCGATTCAAGGGAAGTTTCAATCAAGAACGATTGAAGAATTCATGATGACAAGTTATGGGAATGCAAACTATCCAGCAACCCTACCAAATCTGAAAGTTGACAACTATGAGAATTGGTGAAAACAGATGAAAGTCGTATTCAGGTGTCAAGGTCTTTGGAATCTTGTAAAAGATGGAGTCGAAGCGCTTGGAGAAAACGCTCAGAAGAAGAAAGAAGAAAAACACAGAATCTGAGAAGCTGAGTTATAAAGCATTATTTATAATTCATCAATGTGTCAGCCCAGACAATTTCGAAAGGTTAGTGATTCAAAATCTGCAAAAGAAGCTTGGGAAATCCTTGAGAAGTCTTTTGGAGGAGCTTAGAAGGTGAAATAAGTGAGGTTACAAACTCACAAAAGGACATATGAACTGCTTCAGATGGAAGACAGTGAAAGCATATCTGATTTCTTCACTAGAGTTACAAAACTAGTAAATCAAATCAAGATATATGGAGAAACGTTAACAACAAGATTTGTTGTTTCGAAGATCTTGAGATATTTAGCTCCTAAGTTTGACCACATAGTGGTGGCGATAGAAGGAGGGGAAAGACTTGTCGAAATTGACAAAGGAAGAGCTTTAAGGGACGCTTGAATCTCATGAACAAATAATGAATGAAAAGAGCTGCAGGCAAATCGAAGAGTGTGGCCTTGCAGGCATATTCAGCAAAAGATACCAAAGGTAAAGGAAGTGTTTCGATAGAGGTAGAGGTGGCTACAACAAATCGAATGGTAGAGGAAACCAGATAGAAGGAAACATGTCGAATCAAAGAAGACCATACCAAGGCAACCAAAGAGGTGGTGTTGCAAATAGAGGGAAGAGGTGGTGGTCAAAAACCTGATAAGAGTCACATTCAATGTTATAATTGTCAGAAGTATGGTCACTATTCGAGTGATTGTCCAGAAAACAAAAGAATCAAGAAAGTGGTGCAAAGCTTGCACAACATGAAAAAGAAGAGATGATGCTGATGTTCACCAACAAAAGATGAAGATAGATTCAAGGACCAATGGTACTTGGATTTCAGGATGTTTATCATATATGTATGGAGGAAAGAATGGTTTGTCAACATAAAGCCCTCAAAAAAAATATGGTAAATTTGCAAATGACAATACCCTAGCAGCTGAAGGTATTGGTGATGTTATGATTATGAGGAAAGATAGCAAAAGGTCAGTAATCCTCCAATGTGTTGTACATACCAGGCATGAAGAGTAATTTTCTAAGTATAGGGCAGTTGATCGAAAAGAATTATAAAGTGTCAATCGAAGATAAGATGATGAGAGTCGTTGATGCAAATGGGAGATTAATCTTGAGGGGCTCCTATGTCCCAGAATCGAAATTTCAAGATTGAACTAAATGTGATGGAGCACAAGTGCCTTTTGACTGTAGCTATTAGAGATGAATGGATATGACATTATAGACTAGGCCATCTCAACTTCAGAGACATCAGAGACTTAAAGAGGAGAAAAATATGGTTTCAGGATTGCTTGAAATTGACATTCCAAATGAAGTATGTGAGGAATGTGTGCAGGCGAAGCAGCACAAGAATAGCTTCAGCAGAGGATGCAGGAAGAAGATCGAAGACTATTCTTAAAGTCATATACTCTGATGTATATGGACAAATCCAAGTGGATTCGATGGGGGGTACAAATTCTTTGTTATATTCATAGATGATTTCAGTCGAAAGGCTGTGGACTTATCTGATCAAGAAGAAAAGTGAAGTGATCGAAGTATTTTCCAAGTTTAAGTCTATGGTCGAAAGACAAAGTGTTCGAAAGCTCAAAGTTTTGAGAACTGATGGTGGTGGAGAATGTGATACGGTGGGAGAACTGACTTGATGGTTTTGCGTTTTATCGTAAATATTGCCGTTAGCAAGAGTCGCCACCCGGACTTTTCTTTTATCCAAAAGGAAAGGTGAAAAAGCACAGGAAAGACCTTTAGAGATGTTTTCCTTGAGTTCGGGGGGGGGGGGGGGGGTAGATTATGAAAAGGGAAGGTATTAGCACCCTTTTCATCCATGGTTTTCCATGGGCTCTTAGTTACTTGTTAGATCACTTGCTTTTGTTTGAAATTGTGCTTTGTGTGGCTTTTGAAAGTATTTTGAAAAGGTGCCATCGTTTAGGCAAACTTTTTGTAATGATTCTCGTTTCGTAAGAATGTATACAAAGGTGTTGAGCTTTTGAAAATATTTCATGTTTGGGAAGTGTTTTAAAAGTGTTTTTGAAGTGTTTGTTTGTGAAAATAGAAAGGATGTTTGTTTTGAATTTGAGCAAGTAATTAGGAGCATTCTACATACTCAAAAAGGTCTTAGGTGTTCTTTTCCTCCTCTTTTAGACGTTTCTATCTTACCATTGTTTGGTAAGGAGCCCCATTGTTGGATGTGAAGGGACGGGTGTAGGTCATCGTATAACCATGATAGCAATGTCGTGAGATGAATTAGCATTTTTCTTTAGGGACTAAAATCATTTTGAAAGGCAACTTTGATAGCGTCATCGAGGGACTATGATCTTGTATTTTTTGATTTGTTTATGCTAAGACATCCCACATGCACATCATGACCATTTTTGTAAGGCAACAAGGTGGAATAACCCTAGGGGTGTTAGTGTGCAAGTGTATTTGATTGCATGCATAATTTTGTCTTGAATTAGGTTTTTCTAAACATTGGTTTTAGTCTTGCCATACACACTCTATTTACTAACAATATATGAAAGCAATAAAAGTGCGGAAAATAAAGATTCTACGTTATTACAATCATTAGGGGGATGGGGTTTACATATTTACGAATGGGGATTGCAAATTAAATCCTAAGTTACTATTACAACCACATTGAATGGATAAGAATGTACAAGAAATGTAAAATGCTTATTTATTTAAGAAAAGAAATAAATTTTGTTTTAAGAAAATATTTTTTGGTCTTTTTGTGTTGAAAGGAATAAAATATAATATGTGAATATGAAATATTTTTGGTGTTTTATTTTGATTAATGAAA